TTGGAATTTTAAAGTTTCGAAACTATACATACTTATATTCTTTGGTTATTTTCTAGAATGGAAAAATGCATAGATATTTGTTAGTAAAAGGGGGAAATTTTTAAGGTACAACGGTGGTACCATTTTTTCAGTGGGGAGAACCAATAAAAAATGGAGAGAGAATGTGAAAGTGAGATGAAAAAAATAAAAAATAAAAAAATTCCAAGTGCCAAAATTTAAAAGGAAATCGCACAAAAGTTCGCTCAAAGGGGGTAAAATACATCTAAAGCTCCAAGAAACAAAAATATGTGCTCAGCCAGAGTACCACCAATGAGCTTCAGGGCTGAATGTGATTCCCTGAAACAGGATCCTTAACATGTAAACACATGCTATCCGCAGCCTCTGCTCATAAATGCTCCTTAAGTTCCTGGATTAGAAGTAACAAAGAAAATACACTTCTGCTTCAGTATTCATATTAAGGATAATGGTTGTATTGTCCAAAATATATATATGTACACTTTTTAAAGAATGATGAGCGGCTAAAAAACTTCAATGGCAATATTTAATCAAAAGTATAAGTTATTTCATTTACTCCGGCTGTGACTGAAAATAACTTTCTATGCTAATACTAGTGCCTAATAAGTGGAAATCGCATAAAAAAATCATTTGTGTTATGTTCCTTACCAGTAGAATTCTGTTAATATTGCTGGCACCACAGACTTTATGAGCAAATGAAGATCTTTCAGGATTTGGTTGAGGGAAAATATGGCTTTAGCACACAATCTGGTGGACTTTTTCTCCTCAAAGATTTGCAAGCAGCACATCTTGATTTTTTCATTGTCAGATTCTTGTGTATCTCTTCAAAGATTTCTAAGCACAAAATGATTCTGTCAGATTGGCAAGTTTTTCCTCCTTGAAATCATTCTTTGCTAATATTAATTAGATATTAATTTCTAATTAATATCTAATTAGAAATGTAAAGGCTGATTTGTAAAGGCCAGAATTCTTGCACCTGCATTTGTTAAAAGAATTAGTTATTTCTTGCATATTAACTCAACTCCCATGAGACTTTCCCAAAAAAATGTAGTATTTTTCCAATAAAAGGTCGTGGTTTGCTTCAAATTGTGTAACACGGCAAAGGCCATCGGATAGCATGCCAACAAAAATTTGCTCATTATAAAGAATTTAAATGTGATTTGCAGTATTAACCTTGATTATTTGTCTTAGCGGAAAACAATCTCCATTGCAGTAACAGGAGAAGTATTCAAGTATATATATTAAAAAAAATAAGCATAGAAAACCAACCTAAAGAACTTAGATGATCTGGCAATGAAATCCCACTTGCTGCACCAACCTAAAAAAAAAATAAGAAGTTTTTTATATAAAAGAATTTTATCAGTATCAATCAGAATAATAAACAAACTGAAAAAGTTAAATTGACTTAAACCGAGGAAAATGGCTTACATCATTCCACCCATCATAGACACAAGAAAGGAAGGAATCATCACTGCAGTTCCTAAGGCCAAAATGTAATGCTGAAAACCCAGAGTTATTGTCTCAGCTGTTAAATAATGATACCTTCAAATCTGTGAGGAGACCAAAAGGAAAAATAAATAAAAAAAGAAGTTAACCACCTATCAATTTACAACATCATATTGGGGTTCTGAGTGTATGGAGTCCGTATATCAAGATACGGATACTATACATAATCAATCCCTAAAATGTACTTATTAAACAAAAGCCAAGGAAAGCTCTTAAAAGTGTTCTATCAAACAACTGTGCCAAAACAAATATAAAAATGGCTTATTGTGTATAAGTAATTTTTATGTTGATTGAGTTGAACTTAGGCATTAAATTCATGTATCTTCTATGAATAAAAATGGATATGCTCAGAATTTTCAGCTTGCACATTCTTCCACTTCGCTTTAATTAGAATAAACGATTTTATCCTCTGTTTATCAGTCATTAAGCTCTAACTCTGTTAGCCAGGATCTAAGTCGACATCATCCATGAAACCGAGAGAAACTTATAAATGAATAATTATCTTGTATCAATTATTAACTTCTATTATACTCATAAATCACCGTTTAGAGAAGTCAATTTTAGAAAGAAAAAAAATACTTCAATCGCGAAAATAACCATTGATATTAATGACATAGAACCAGAGAGAAATGTCTAAGCTGAAACTTAATGGATCTACCGATGCATCATCGCTAAGGAATTACGTCATTTGCAAAAAGTAAAACAAAAAGACTAGCTGCAATTTAATGAATCGCATTGAACGAGGTTAATTCTGCATATCAATCAAGTAGCATTATAGCAAACAAGAAAAGTCAGAATAGAAGGAATAGAACAAAATGCAGAGAAGTAAAATACCTTGCAAGCAATCACAGTTTTCGGCCTCTTTGCGAACAACATCATGAACAGAATCAATTAACTCAGCGCCTTCAGTATAATGAACTTTGGCCCAATTATTACCGTCACTAGACTGGCCAAAGACAAAGTTATCAGGTCGAAAGATCTTGCCGCAAGGTTCAGAATATACCTGCCACCAGAAGCCTCATTATACTTGGAGACGATCTGGTTACAGCATTGGCCACCTTGAACGTGCAATATTTCTCTCATTGTAGCGCTTCTGAAATGAAAGATGGAGAACGAGATTTAGGGTTTGCGAATTATTTGGTATTGGGAAATAAAGTTAATCTGAGAATAACAGAAATGCGCGAGTGTGAGAAATGAAAAGTTAATTCACCAGTTATCGGTGCGTTCGGCGTCGGAGTTGGTTTTCCGCATGGCCATCGTACAGAGAAATTGGTAAGTTAGAAGCACAGGTTTCAGAGTAATCTTTATTTTGAAAGGGATAAGACTGAACGCGCACAATATAACAGGGCTACACTTTGCTTTAGCAATGTGTGATGGGGATAAGAAGGGAATAAAAATATTATTAAACGTTAGCGGAAACGCGGAGCCTAAGGTTTACGACACTGCTCTAATCGCGTCCCGAATATGAGAGTTTTTACCGTGCTTAAATGACGTTTTTTTTGTAGTGTGTTGATCAGTAGTTGTTGTAATAGGAGTTAGTTACAGGTAGTTAGTGTCTTGTATAAAAATTCAAGGGACGCATTGTTCTCAATATCAATTAATCAGAATAAAATTTGTTGTTTTTCCTCCTCCTTATTAAGCTCTGCTCTATGACAAGCTTCTCGCGAAATCGACACTAACGATGTATGGACAGAATCAAAATGGACTCACAACTGTAATCAATAGGAACATACCGGGCCATTATGCTTAATTGTCTTTGTTCTATCTTATAGGCTTATAGCATCCACTTGAACATAATTTTATTAACTATTTTGTCTGGATTATTAATCCTTTTAACTCGTTGACACTAATACAACTGTTTTTCCATCATTTGCCTATGGAGGTTGATTCATTGATAGCTTTAGCACAGTACATAAATAATTAAATAGAGTACGGTAAGCTCTAAAGTAACCAACTTTATGGTAGCTTTGATCTTTATCTCTATCAGCATAAATAGGCATTATAATATGTACAATCCAGATCTTCAAGTGGTACTGACAAGACAGTTGTCACCCATGCTAGCTAGATCTTATATATATATATATATATATATGGGAAAAGTATTTCTACAGCCACTTTAGATAAGGTTATCTACAGCTACCTCTTTTTAACTAAGTACGACCGGTCGTATTTAGTTATAACAATAAAGCTGCTCTTTTTTTTTTCTCTCCCCAAACACTGTCGGCTGACGTGACAGAGAGAGAAAATGCATTTTTAATGTAGACCGGTCGTACTTAGTTAAAGAGGGGTAACTGTAGACAACCTTATTTAAAGTGGTTGCAGAAATGTTTTTTCATATATATATATATATATATATATATATATATATATATATATATAAAGAATTTCTCTAGTCAACAGATATAAATTATCTCCGGTAAGTCCAAAACGATATTATTTTGAGGCGAAAATTAAAGTGTTTTTTGTAATTCTAAGATATTGCAGAGTTATATTAGTTTTTATCATTATAATTTTTTTTATCTCCAGTGACTGAAGAAATACTTTTCTATATATATATATATATATATATATATATATATATATATATATGCCTTAATTTTGAGGTAAATAACTATGTCTATTGCTTCTTCCGTTGCTTTCAACCTTTTCTTTCGATGGCTCACTCAAAAACTTTGTGAAAAAAGGGACACCAAGAAAACAAGCACCTAAAGCTGTACTTAATGAAATCATAAACTGGCAGCAAACGACTTAAAAAAACCTCACAGCCACTTCCTATCAAAGAAAGTAACCGACTAAACTTCCATATTTGTAAGAGACCTTCAATGCTAAAACCACTTGCATCTTTCAGTTCCAAAGTGGCATATAAAGGATTCTCCGACTCCTAAGGTTTATATATATGTTAATGTATGAAACGGAACTTGATCTATATATAAGTATCACTAAGTCATGAGTGCTTATGATCGAACAGTCACAGTTAGCATATTTAAGTCATTCTGAATGGTCAGTTTTGTTAAAAGCTACAGCATATATTTTATTTTGGATGCTGCCTTCGCAAAATGTATATCCAGTTCAATGTTTATTGAAGAAAGAAAATCATGTATGTTTATGTAAGGTAGATCTATAGCTTCTTGCATGAAATAAAGTATCAATTATCTCCTACGTACTCCTAGCTAGTACCATACCATGTAACCTTACCTGTAAACACATTTAACTAATAACACAAATTCCTGACTTCATGATTGATTTAGCTATGCTAGCAAATGGAAACTATAAATGAAAATCACTATGGATAATAACTTCTCATTTCTTTGAGAATTATGTAAAGGGAGAGTTTTTTCATCGATTTATATGCAAAGAGCCAATCTATCTTCCATTACAAGGGTATGATCACCAGTGGACACTTTAGGACAAACATATATATATATATATATATATATATATATATATATATTGGCTTGTTCACTTTTTGTGAGAATCTCTCATTTTCTAGTGGCAGATCCAAGAGATAATCTGAGCTCCAAATCTAACTCTTGAGTGTCACTTGATTCAAAGTTCTGACTGCTTGAGTCCGGGGAACCACTCCTATGCTTCTCGGTATCTATGTCTTGTGAGTCCTAATTATGGAGGAACAAAAAAACATAATAAGGTCATTTTGAATTTACAGATAAATTATTGGGTGCCAAATACATCTTTTATGGTGGAATATGTATAAATATTTGATGAGTTGCATGCATATTGAAAAAAATTCCTTACATGTAGGTTTAGAAAGGGTCCAATTATGCTGGATTGAGCAGAAATCTGGTTCTCCAAGATGGCTGTGGCATAATCCCATCTGGTTTAAGATAAAGAATTCCACATATCAGCAATAAATTCATTATGACAATAAAACGAAGAGAAGAAAAAATATCCAACTTTTATAAACACACACTTTGTGTTCATCGATCAATGGCACGGATCAAAAAAGGGCTGGAAGCGTTAAGTACCTTGCTGTATTTGTGGGCTGAGAATCTCCATAGCTGATGTTTGTTTTTTCATATTCGGATAGACCCATCTGCACTAGCCAACGATTTTTATCAAAATTTCAGGATTCTCCCAACTCATTCTCTTCTCATGTATTATCAGTATATTACTATACTCGAACATCTTATAAAATAAATAAATAAAAAAGAACAATTACTTGTACTATCCAGCAACAAGAATTAGGTGACTGTAATAACGAATAAAACCGAAGATGATTTCGAATACAATCTTGACCCCTTCTAATCACTTAATTTTGGTAAATTTCCAGCTAGCAGAGCACACAGATTTAATTTAGGGTTAGTCGTACCCTTGATCAATGTAATAAACCATAAGAGTTGGCACATCTGGTCGAATTTTTCACCCACGTTAGTTAGCCGTGACAACTCAACCAAACATAGAGGAGAGTTATTTCAGAATAAATAGGTTATATATTATATCACAAAGGAATATCACAAAGGAAAACTACAAGGAATTGAAAAATAACCGTGTTGATTGCTTTGTGGTGCAATTACTACGCATTTGTATGGATTAATTTTGAAGTAATGACTACTAATTAAGCAGGGAGAGGTGAAAATATGTGCGCAGGAAGAATGATCTCTATTAAATTGTACAAGAGTAAGACCAATTGGTATTTAGGAAAAGCTAAAATTACACCTACCTTAATGTGGGGTTGGAAGCCATATGAAGCTGAGTATGATGTTGTAGATGACGATGAGTAAGAAAAAGATGATGATGGTACCGATGAATATGCTATATTTTGCACTGTTGGATCTTCCAGCTGCATGTTCTGGAGGGACAAAACTCCAATATTGAATTTCACAAATTCAAGTTAAAAAATTGGTAGCTTTTAGAGAGAGAGAGAGAGAAGTAGAGAGGTATACGTTGTTGAAATTAGGTGGGTAAGGGCCATGGAGAGAAGGATGATAGGCAGAGGCAATTTGATCATGTAATCTGATTTTCTCCAATTGAGCAACTCCAAGTCCTCTCTGTGGTTGCTTTGGCTTGTCTGAATTGTTCTTCTTCCCTGCTTTTCTTGATGAAGAAGACCCACTTCCTCCTCTTTCATTTCCAAGGTTTGGTTCTCCAAAATAATTGCTACCCATATCTCCAAAATATAAAGCTGATCGATTGGCTTAATTTGCAAAACCAGGGAGAGACTTGTGTTTTTAAGCTGCCTGCACCCCCAGCAAGTATTGCATCGCTGGATCACATCGTGTGTCAGATTTCAATGTTATATATATACACCCAGATTCTATGCACTCTCTCCTCCTATCCTTTTGCTTCAACATGTTATTTTATTTTTATTTTTTCTGTGAACTGTAATTTGATTATTATATCAATAATGATCCCATTATTTAATAATTTTCCAACCTATATATTATATAGACTTTGGAGACTATCTTGGAAAGGGATTGTCTCTCATTTAATATGTTAAATAAGCAGTAACGGTAGACCTTATGTAGCCACGCGCCATAACGTAGGTTAGGGGTATTAAAACGGGTTGACACGACACGAATTTGATACGATAGCAATATATCAACATGAACATAATACGAATAACACGCAAAATAGGGGTCAAAACGGTAATTGACAAAAAAAGATTTAAAAAAATGGGTCGAAATTAAAAAAAATTAAAAAATAATAAAAAATAATTAAAAAAAATATGGGCAACACGAACACGACACGAATTTTTTACGTGTCATTTTTTTCCAACACGAACACGTCACGATTTTTTTGCGGGTCAACCCGAATACGAATTTTAGTGTCGTGTCACGGGTCAACCTGCGTGTCATAACCTATATTAACACCCTATTACAAGCGATAATATTCATTAAAGAAAAATTAATAATGCATACTATACTAAGGCTTTACTTTTTATGTGATTGCTGTAGAAAAATTTGTCTGTCATTTTTATGAAAAAAAGAAGAAGAATAGGTCTCATGTAATACAGTTTGTGTCAAAAAAATTTGCTTATATAAGAATATGAAGTGTGTGACAGATAATTCTTTTTACAATAACTATATAAATATTTTTCCCTTATACTAAATATGTAGAAGAAGGTGCTGAGGTTTATCACTTCATTCAAATTTTACTTGTTTAATGTGTGTGAAAAGATGCTAAACACAACATTTAACATGATAAATCTTTTTAAGGTAATTTTATATGTGATTATATGAATTCCACTAATTGAAGTAGATAACGAAGCTTTAAATGGGTTCCACTTTGCATGTGGTTTCCTAGAGTTTACTGTCAATTTGTCCCAGCTGATAATACACTAAACTGAAATGACACAGCTGTAAATTCCATAATTAAGAGACTTATTAATAAAGGAAAGTAAAATAAAACTAGTAATGAATAATTTAAAAAAGGATCTGGATCCTCTTATGTGAAAATTCACATGACCATGTCATGTGAGGAATCATAACCATACAAAGGTGGATCAATGGTAATAAAGGAAGAGAGAAAAAAAATGTTAAAATAGGTAGTTACGAAATCATAACTGTTGATTTACCTTTGTATGGTTGTGATCTTCCCGCATGATCATATCATGTTTTTTTCACATGAGAGGATTTATTTCCACTGTAGTTTCAAAATTATATCGCCTTTTTTAATTTATGTTGTTTTTAAATCTAAAAGATATACAGATGATAGTCTTGCTTAACATATGAGGAAGGATTGACCTAAAGATTGCGATAGTTAAAACAATATATACATGATAATAATAATAATGTGGTTATAATTAAGTGTTGAAAGACAAAATCTAATTGAGCTGTTTCGCGCATGATTTGTGGGTCATATTTTATGAGTTGTTTGTGTGGTGGAAAGTGAGAATCCTCCAAATTGTTAGCCAGACATGTGAACCCATTCAAATTACAAGAAACCCCACTAATCCTCACCAAAAGTATGTCATTTGTTGCTTAAGCAGAGGACATAAAAACATAGACAAAGTACTATAGTTAAAAAGTATATATAGTAATTGTTGCTTTACATAATTTGGGATTTGCTTCCTTTTCTTTCCTTTCACTTAAACTTTTTATTTCTTTTATGGTTGTTTCCTTTTCTTTTCTTTTCCCCCATCTTTCTTTCTTCTAGACATTAGGGTTAGGGTGCTGATCTAAACGCCATTACTTTTTTTTTAGTTTTTAGTGATAGCCTCCTATATGCTGTATCACTTTGAAGTTTGAACCAATAAATTAAATGAGCAATTAACTTGAAAATGCAAAATTCAGTTGACTGTAATTAGAATAATAGTAAAGTAAAAATATATTGGGCAGTTAATCATCTCGGGCAATCCAGCAGTTGTCATATAAATCATATTAGAAAAAGTAATCTCCAGCAAAAGATCGATGCTTCACTATTGGCCTTAATGCTCCACCAATAACACTAGATATTCAATCAATAATCTTCATTGGAGAGAAGAGTAAAGATTTGAAGTGAAAATAGAATACAAGAGCAACTTTCTCTTGCTATTTACCATGGCATTTGCATTTTCTGTTTCTTCCTTTCCATTTCGTTATGTCCAGATAAAAAAAAAAAATTAAGATTTTTTCATCGGTTCCATCAACGATTAAACCAATCAAGCTGAGTAAGATAACACAAAGGCAGTGAACTCTATATCCAAAACTCACAAGACCACGAGTTAAGCTAAAACAACACATATTAGATGATATACACGCTTGGTGGTATCTCATTAATTTATTTTTTGGGTATACCAACTTTAATTACTTTTTTGAGATGAGTCACCTCCCGCTATCCTCATAAGTTTCAATTCTTTAAGTCAGTTATAAGACTAATTCCAAGTCGGGATTTAGTCACAATTAAAGCTCTTCGACCATAGTTAATATTTTTGTATAAAGGGATTTTGATGTAGTTTGATTTGGATTATGTAATTAATTTTTGTTTTTAATCTTAGTTTATATTCCTAAATTTGAGTGTTATTTCGTTGTTTTGACATTTCTATGACGTGACACTCATGAATTAATTAGATGTTCATGTATGAATAAAAAAAATAATGCATGATCTAGATCTTTATGATGAACACGACAATATTGGCTAGATCTAGGATAGAGATAGCTAATTGTATGGTTTTGCTTGAGAAATTCCCTATTTTGTTTACTGCCTTTTATTTTTCGAATTAAATTAAGTGATTACTCATTCCAATATATAGTTACATGAAATAGGACTAATACATCAAGATATTAGGTATTAGTTAATTTTAAAACTTATAAGAGATCAACATAATTAACAATTAATTTAGATAGAATCTTAAAAATATTATTTAAATTATGAAAAATAATACATATATAAATAATTTTAAATTTTAAAAAAGAGAAATTAAGATGATATACATCATTTTCTAACAAAAGAAGTCACTCAAAAAAAGTGTATTCCTAGTGTATTCTAATTTAATATAGAGGGAAGTCATACTTACAATTTTTTTTCACTAAATTTTTTTTACCATCCAATCTAAATTGTTGATTTTTTGATAATTATTTAACGGTTATGATTTATTAGATTATAATTATTAAATTCTAATAAATTATAACGATTAAAATTGAAAAAAGTTGTAAGTATAACTTTTTCGTTTAATATATAAGTGTGAATTGCTTAATAATTAATTTAAATTTAATTTACAATCTCATTTAATTAAAATTTGAAGTTATTCTCACTAAAAATAGGAAACTGAAGTTTTAAAACAGAAAAAATGATAGAAAGTAACTAAGGAATCTAATCATTATATTTGAAGGGTAATTATATTTGAAATGAATTAATTTAATATTCTGAAAAAATATTTTAAAAAAAATCCTTTTAATTGTGAAACTACTTATCTAATTCTAATAAACGAAGATAGTACAATAAAAGTTTTTTCTACTCTTAAAAATGAGAATGCAATGATGGATAATTGATGGAATATTACTAATTAATATAAGATTTTACCACTCTTAAAAATGAGAACTCTATTTTTGTATATAATGATGGATAACTAAAGGAATTACTAAATTAATTAGTTCAGTAAATTAACACAAAGTCTTCATTCTCTTGTATTACATATTTATAATATAGATTCAGATTATCAACACTTTTCTAAAAACTGAACACAACATTAACATAATTTGTTTATATAGCTAAGATTATAAACACAAATTCATTAGTTTCTGAATTGGATACTGAAGGTCATGCAATTCTTTTTGGACTGCAGACAAACTAGTTTCTTATAATATCGGGTTTTGAATATACGGTACTGTGACAAATAAGTTTAAACTCTAGATCCTTTATAATATTAGATGTTTGAACCCAAAAAGATAATTGTTCAAAAAATTAAACTATCATTTAATGACAACTCCCAAATAAATAATCGGCAATAAAACCTTATGTTTTTAGTGATTTGTGAGAAGAAAAAACCTTGATATTTCAATTAATAAATAGTTTTGATCAGACCAAATACAGTATCGACTGGCCCTATATGTATCGAGCTCAATCACACACGGTTGAATGATCTTACGTTGTTAGTGGCCTGGGCCTGGTATTGCTGTTGGAGCGTGCTTGAGCTTTGTCCTTCTCGTTGGCGTGTTGCACCAAATGGGAGGTACCTGCGAAGACACTCCGATGCTTAAGTCAGTATCAGAGACAGGTGTTTTGTGTTGATTAAGTAAAAGATGATCATACATTGATGGTATATCGTTTGCTTATATAGTAGTTAATATGCCATCTTAGTTAAGGCGGTTGGCTTCTAAGTGGTCAGCCTTGGGCTGCAGGTCAGTCAGGGGACCTGAGTAGCCTTATCTTCCATAGTGTCTAGTAGTAGAGTTGTGGCAAGCTGCAGTTGTCCGTTGTTTACTGGAGTTAAGGCGCGGTGGAGTTGCCTTGGGCCTTAAGTTTACTTCCTATAGAAGGTTTCATACGCGATGTGAGTATCGCGTCTTGTGTGACGTGATGAAGGCATCGCGTCTTGTGTGTCGTGATGAGGGCATCGCGTCTGTGCTTGTTCTTTGCGCTTTGCTTTGGTCTTCAATGGACCTGGGCTTCCTTATGTGTTTTTGGACCCTGGTTGAGCTTATATTTTATCCGGATCAAGTTTCAAACCCAATTTTTTTTTGAAAAA